GGCGCCCCCCCCTCCCCAAGAGGGACAGCAAGGCCAGCATCTGGAGGAAGCGGGAGGGGCGCCCGCTGCTCCCCACCAACTAGCCCCACCCCGCCCGGCTGGAGGGCCCCCTCTCCCTGCTGTCCATGCACGTGTCGGTGTAAATTGCAGGAGGAACTTATTTTTAAATATGTTTTTATCGATTTCAGAGAGGAAGGGAGAGGGAGAGAAACATCAATGAGGAGAGAGCATCGCGGACCGGCTGCCTCCTGCACGCCCCCCACTGGGGCTGGAGCCGAAACCTGGGCCTGTGCCCTTGACCGGAATTGAACCCGGACCTTTTAGTCCACAGGCTGACGCTCTATCCACTGAGCCACACCGGCCAGGGCTAATGTATTGTTTATTGATGTCAGAGAGGCAGGGAGAGGGAGAGAGAGAAACATCAGTGATGAGAGAGCATCCTGCATCGGCTGCCTCCTGCACGCCTCCCACTGGGGCTGGAACCACAACCCGGTCCTGTGCTCTGATGGGAATACTACCCTGACCTCCTGGTTCCTAGGTCCACGCTCAGCTGCTGAGCCAGCGGCCGGTCCAATATGAGCCTGAGGAGTGAGACCGACCGGTCCAGAGGCCCCGAGCGGAGTGAAGAGTGAAATGGGAGCTTGGCCGCGAGGGAGGGAGGCGCCCAGGCCGGCTTCTGGCCCACTCTCGGCACCCAAGTGCTCACAATGTAGAACAGCTCCCGGAGTTCGTTGTCTGGGAGTGTGGCCCCGGCAGCCCCCTCTCCCCGACTCCCTTAAGGCCGCTGTGGGGTGTGCACCCCAAAGCTGCCTCCATGAGAAAGGGTTGCTCTGCTCTGAGGACACCCTGTGAAGCCGTGGGGATGAAACCGCTCCTCAGGTGACATATGGCCGCTCTGTTCCCACCGCCTGCCCTGGACACACCGGACCAGTGTTCTGGGCTGATGTCCTTCTAGAGTTTGAAGCCACTCAACCTTTCGTTGTTGCTGCAAACAGCATGTGTATTGTATCGACCCCAAAGGGAATCCCATATTCACATAAGATGGGCAAGAAGCGACTTTGTTGCTAGAGAGGGCAACTCCAGAACAGACGGTAAGGTGATATTTGTTATTTAGAAATCTGAGAAATGGATGCTCTGATGCTAAATTTTTATTTTAAAATTTATTTTTCCTTCCCTCAAAAGTGAAATGAGCTTAGCTGTCCAGGAAAACTTTACACCAATCTAGAGAGAGAGAGAGAGAAACTCACCAAGCGTACCTTTAGTTTCAACTCTGATACATGGAAGCGAAAATCAATTCTAAGATACGTCTTTTATTAACAAAAATTCTGTCACTAAAATGCTATTAAACTTGATTTTTTTAAAAGATCAATAAATCAAAAATGTTTCTTATGAACATTAAAACATTAACAGAGTGTGTGGAACTAAAGGAAATAGCATTGCAACTTTTTTCTTAAATGTTGTGAGCTAAAAAATGTCATTTCCCTGAGACCCAAAAATACCTTTGGGATAGTAGGTGTGTGTATAGATTTTTTTCTGTTAATATTCATAAGAGATGTTTGAAAAAAACAGTTTCAATTTAATGGGAAAAGTAAGTTTTTTCATAAAACGCTTGGAGCCTTAGCAGCACCCCCATCCGCACCCCCAGTTTTGGAAGTCATATGTCCCTGTCCACTTCATTTCATCATAGCGAAGAATTCCATGTGAACACATGCAGCTGTTTATAATGATGTTTTCTGCTCCAAGTTATCAGTCCTAGATCCCAAAATAAATCCCTTCTTAATTAAAATCAACGCATCCCATTTTTCTTAAAATTTCCACGAAGGCCAGTGCCTGAAGCAGATCCCTCTTTTCCTTGGGGGAAAAATGGAGGGAAAATGGCTTCATTTCTCATCCTGCTGATCAACATGAGAGCAACAGAGAGACCCAAGGCACATAGATTGAAAGAACCAAAAGGAGCCACCTTCGCTTAGAGCATAAGTGGATACGCCATGAAAGGGATCACTTTCCAAGAGGGGACTTCAGCCAGTGCCGGTACCCCCTGCTGAGGCATCTAGCAGCCCCCTGTACCCCCTGCTGAGGCATCCAGCTGGCCCCCCCATTCCCTGCTGAGGCATCTAGCTGGCCCCCCGTACCCCCTGCTGAGGCATCTAGCTGCCCCCCTGTACCCCCTGCTGAGGCATCTAGCTGCCCCCCCCCCTATTCCCTGCTGAGGCCTCTAGCCCAGGGGCACAGTGACCCTGTCTCCCAGCCCCTAGGGGAGAAGTGTTTGGGGATCCCAGGCTGACACACAGTTGTGTGTGGGGTAGTGAAGAGGCCCCCATCGGAGGAGGCTTCTCACGGGTCTTACACCGAGAGAGAGACACGGTAGGAGCCGCACCGAGGAACTGGGGGCGCGGCCGGGACTCTGGCTGTGGAAGTGCCTAGAGGAGACGGGCTGTGTCAGGGGGACCCCATTTTCCTTCAAGGTGCATCCTCGCTCTCTCGGCCAGCCCAGCCCCAGCCCCAGCAGACGTGCAGTTTTCACTAAGAACACGGACCTGTTCCTTCACGTGGGGATGGTGCCATCGGCATGCACGGAGCGTCTCTCTTTCTTTTGTGGATTCTTGTTTGAATGCAGTTCGTATCAGTAGTTTATCTTGGAGTGAGAAACCATCGAGTGGAAAGTTTTACTTCATCCATATCTTAAACGTATGTGTCTCCCGCGTCTAAGTAGAGATGTTTCCTCTCTCGGCTCAGGGAGGGGCTATCCGTGGCTAGAAGGGCGTACCGTTCAGATGTGCACTCACTCACTCTCGTGTGAAGGGAACGAGAAGAGGTGTCCCCAAGGGCTTTTCCAGAAATGCATTGTTTGGTTTCAGAATAAACCCTATTTTTTTATGCGCCGCACGTTCTGTCCTCCCCTGGGAAGCACAAGCCGTTCCCTTTCCCAAGGGTTAACCATGTGCATCTTCCCCTTGGCGAGTGGCTCACGCATTTCCTGTGCAGAAGACGAAGCCATCGACTTCTCCTTCCCCCCGTGATGATGAGCCTGCACCGCGTACCCCTTTCTTACGATGCTAGATGGAAACCAACCCGGGCTTTTGCAAATGTAAACCTAGAGAATTTTGGTCACAAATGGTTCGCATTTGTGGATCCTTTGTACATACTTTGCATATATCTGAAAAGCGAACGTCTCCCTCGATTCCCCGATGGGTTCGTGTACGAAAGCACAGCGACGTGTATTTTTGAATGCATAGTAGGACCTTGAGACTTTATAAAGCCCATTTTTACGACGTTTAGGCAGTTGTGTCTGGATCACCCCCTTTTGTAATTCACAGCACACCGAGCAGGGCACGCGTGTGGAGGAGTCGGAGCACTTCTCCGCCCTGGCAGTCATCTTCAGGTCACTTCCCGGGTCTGAGTCCTCTGGGATCGACGCACCTGACTGTTTTAGGGACCCATGGGTAACCAATACCCCTCAAAACTCCCCCGAGGGTGACGCCCAGAGTCACGCCTGCCTTTTTAGGGGACGAGTCACACACTGGCCCGTGCACTTGCTGTCTTTGTAGAGAATCTGACTGTGAATGCCCAGCGCAGACCGAGCGCTGACAGCTCGCCCTCTGATTCCACGTGTTTCTGGCTTTTGTATTCTCTCGTCAGAGGCGGCCCCATCCCAGGGTGTACGTACGGCCGTTACTACTGTATTCACTGCGGAAAACTGGACACCTGAAGATTTGTAAATGTCACACACAGTTCATTAAAGATAACGAGATAAACCTGAAAATGTGCTCGATGCGTTGTTTACTTTGGGCAAACGATGGCATATTCCTCTCTACGTTGTCATTTAATCCAGGAAGAACGCAAGTATTAATTTTTAATTTATTCTGCTCCCTACAGTAAAAGCAGCATCAGACCTCTGATTGCCCCTTGTTGATAGGACGAACTTGATCTCTCTCTTTGCTTGTCGTGTTCTCCAAAGTTCACATAAGATAGACATACTAGTGTTCCTCCAATGGGAAGACTTCTTAAGATAATGGATAGAATGTGAAATAAATTTCGATCCCCGAAATACCCAAGCGAGACGAGGATACACCACCTCCTTCCCACCTTCAGGAAGTTCTCTGGACTTTACACCGAAGACGGCGTCTCACCCACGGCTGTTCGCACTTAGAGCGCCAGCTCTCCTTCGAGGGCCGTGCATTCACTCAATTAGATGCACTTAGGTCCAGGCCCTTTGCACCTGGGGCTTCAGAATCTCTTTAGAACCCTTACCCGGTGCCACCTTTTGGGCAGTTTGTATAACGGATGAACGTGGGACTGGAAATACCATGTTATTTGGTCAGTTCAGACGGGAATTGGGCTCTGAATCCACTCAGCCACACGGTGGCCATTATGACACCCAACCCTGGCACTGACGTGGGCACTTCCATCTGGATCCCTGTCCCATACAAGCCAGGGTGAGCTGCCCTGGCTCAGGGCCTGGCCTCCATGGAGTCTTTAAAAAAAAATTTATATATATATATCTCCTATGTAATAAAAGCCTAGGTGGCATAGCACAATGCCCTCGCATGACATTGTCACAAGATGGCTGCCACTAGATGGCCAGCACGGGAGGGGAGTTGGGGGCGACCAGGCCTGCAGGGGAGGGCAGTGCGGGATCGGGCCTAAACTGGCAGTTGGACATCCAGATTGGAGAGGGTGCAGGCCGGTTGAGGGACACCCCCCTCCTGTGCACGAATTTCATGCACAGGAGGGCCTCTAGTATATATATATATCTCAGAGAGGAAGGGAAAGGGAGGGAGAGAAACATCCATGATGAGAGAGAACCATGGATCGGCTGCCTCCTGCACGCCCCCTACTGGGGATGGAGCCTGCACCGGGGCCTGTGCCCTGCCTGGGAATTGAACCCTGACCTCCTGGTTCATAGGTCAACACTCAACCACTGAGCCACGCCGGCAGCTGGCTGGGCGGAGTCCTGCAGGAGCCAACCCACAGGGAATGGGCGGGGGAGAGGGCATCTCACTCATCACAATCGGAGACTCAGCCGCCAGGCAGGTGACTTCAGCTGCTGGCCATCACGTTCTCGCCTCCAAAGCAGCACGGAGGAGACTGACTGGTAAGAGCCACAGGAAAGGGAGTTGGGCGGAGTTGGGTGTTTGAGTGAGTTTATCAGAAGTGACTCGCCCACCAGCACAGGGTCGGGTGGCAGCCGGCAGGGCCCCTTCCTGGGAGCTCTGAGCCGGAACACTGTTCCCTAAACCGCGGTGCTGCTTTATCTGGGCTCAGTAAACCACCTCGGGGCTTTAAAGAGAAACAGGTGCACGACGCCGGAGGCATTGACTTACGGATGGTTTTAGCTCCATGTCCAACGCGTTAAGTATTTTTTTCGTTACAAAAACGTTCAGAGCTCCACTGGAGAAAAGTCGTCTAGAAATCAATCACAATTGTAATTTTAAAAACCAAAAAGTTAATAAACTCCGTTATAAACGGTGAGAAAACCTTTTCATCAAATGTGTGTGTAACAGCCGAGCGTAAGTAACACACCTGTGCTGGTTGTTGAACCGTTGCAGTAACACGTTTCTCTGCTTCGCTTGCTCTGGTGGACGAGCCTCTTCCTATTTCTGTGGGGAAAGCTCATGTGTTGAAAAGTAGACGCTGTCTTTTTCTTCCCTTTGTTGACCAAACCTTTCCTGGTTGAACCTGTGTTTCCTGGTTTTAAACCCATGCTCGCTGTGGTTGTGAATAACATCCCACAGCCCCGAGGGGCACTCCAGTCCCCAGTGGTTTCCTGGAAGTTTCCCGTTCGCGTGCTGCTGGCTCTCAGCCTTGCGGACCTCATTAAAACACCAGGCTGACGGCAGCGTCTGCCTCAGACAGCCCCGTGGGTGAGCACGCTCCCAGGAGTCGCGGGCTTGTGACCCTTGGACGCGGAGAAGACAGTCACGCACGTTTACGTTTTTGCTGTGGGGCTCTGTCAGCTCCCCTGCTCTCTGGACCATCCGAACGTCCTACAGAAAGGTACACGGATTCACTACTCGGAGCAGGCTGTGGGTGGAATGTTCTGTGTGCAGTTTACTACTGTAGTAAGAAAACTCAATGATGGCAGAGTTATCATTGATAAGTTTGACTAGTACAGGGATATTGTCTATATCTTTTAGCGGAAAGTAAATTCTACGGCATTGTTGTTTTTCTCTACTAGCATCCCACATGTATGTGGAAAGAATCCCATTCTATGCTATCAAGTGGAATGTTTGAAAATAGTGATTCAACACAAGAAAAATCTCCTTCCTTCATTTAAGTAATAATAATTATTTTAATCAGCATAAAGTCAGATATAAAAGTTCAAAAAATACTCATAATTCATAACATCCTGAACATACTCATCAAAACACCTAACACTTTAAGTCTTCTAAAGAGTGAACGAATTTCCTTTATGTGTAGTTAGTTCTTCATGGACAAGTAGGCAAAATGACAACAGAGAATTTTATACCCATTTGTCAAAGTATTGTTTTATGTTCTACAAAGAAAACATTTTATGTTCAATATCCAAATGTTAGAAAATTCTGATGTTAGTCAAACGTGTATTTTCATAACTGAACTCCTTCCAATGTTTGATATAAAGGGTGAGACACAGGCCTTCCTGACCGATGATGGCATTTGTTTCTCAGTTTCCCCATACAGTTATCATACCTTGTAGACAAACCAAGTTCAGTTGTACCCCAACTGACAGTAAGATCGGAATCTTCTGGAGGTGTTTGGTCTCCTGTTTTCCTCTCTGACATTGGCACCAAGAATCTTCTTCAGATTGTGGTTGATACGTTTAGAGCCTTTGGTCAGCTTCTGGCTTTGACCGGCGTCGCTGACCCGGGGGCCTCCCGTTCCAGGGGGACAGACGTTATTCTCACGAGCGATAGAAGGAAGAAATGTTTGAGATGGTATTTTCCCAAAGGATCCCGTGGGTAAATCGTGAAAATACCGGGGGAAATGTTGCCTGATTTTATACTCGTAGATTAATCTCCTTGAATTTGCATCGTCTACGTTGATAGAGGACAGGTCACGTGTGGTCATTTCCTGGTGGGTGTCTGTGGGACGCTGAGGCGTCTTCGACGTTTCAGAGTTACGTTGGTGGATGCTGGGCAAAGTCCCAGCTCCGTTTGGTTTTACGACTAACCCGGTACCAGGAACGAAGAGCCCTGGTTCCTCCTGCTTCGACAGGTGGGCGGCCTCTGTGTTTGGGACGGAGCGATGTCCCCGTCCGTTCACGGCTGTGTCTTTCCAGAGCAGAGGGTTGTATATGACTTGTCCGTCAATGGGGCAGGCGTTGCACTTGTGGAGTAACCAGCTGTCAATACATTTCCTGTGAAACTTAAGAAAAGGTTATGAGTTAACTGAGGGTATAAATCTCTGGCTTGTAATGTACACTGGAGGCCCGGTGCACGAATTCATGCACATTGAAAGGAAATTAATTAGAAGAAATAGTTTAGAGGCCGTGAGGGACCACGGGAGGTTGGCTCCAGGGCGTGTCTGGCCCGTCTCGCCCAGTCTGGACAAGCTAACCTATCGGTCGGAGCATCTTCCCCCTGGTGGTCAGTGTGCGTCATAGCGACTTATGGAGCAGTGGACTGATTGGTCGGACACTTAGAATATTAGGCATATATATATATATATATACACATATATTATCTATGCAAATTTTTCTGTTTCATTACTGAGTTACTATTAAAACTAGCAAAAATGAAAGGTAATCATAACTTATCAAGTTTTATGAAAATATGTTGAAGAGGTTCTCATTAAAAATGTAATTGGTTATGGGTTATGCGTTTCTTGAAAACAAAAGAGAAAACCACGATAAATGTGGCATAGCTTATAGTATTATTATAGGTCTATTTTATTTTCATAAAATGTAATATACCTACATTATTATGTCCTTTTTCAACATTGAAATGGAAGCCTACTATGGGTATTATTTATGTAATTTTGTTTAAGACTGCTTATCCAAGCCACTAATTTTACTCTTTCTAATGAATGAAAATTATTAAGTAACCAAAAAAAGTCATAACCAACAAGAGTTGACTATTGGTCTGATGATGGTGAGATAAAACAAATCACATTGTTGGGACGAAAAACAGTCAGACATCTTAAGTACGGGTGACTCTACAGCTATCCATGTCTGTTTATTGGAACAACTTCATTCCACCAGTTGGTACTCGTACTGCCTTCACCTTCCTCCACCCCCTCCTCTCGGCAGCCATCGGTCTGTCCTCTGTGTCTGCCTGTGTTTCTGTATCGGCAGCTGCAGAATGGCCCCGGGGATTAAAGTCCTGCACAGAGGACAGAGCCGACAGTGTTGTCATCACCATGGCAGTGCCAGGCAGGCCCTGGAGAAGCTGGGAGACACTGGTCAAGGCGAGGGCTGCCGAACCTCCATGCTGCACCCGGAACTAATTCGAGAGAATACTGAAGGCAAACTGAAACCTAAAACAACTGAAGACTAAACTAAAATAAATACGTTTATTTCAGGAAAAACCTGGTTACCAACTGCACGGTGACCAAGCACCATGACACTCCGATTCTAGTGCATTCATTTGAAATAATAACCAACTCTGTCAAGTTAAGCATCTCTGTTTCCTCCAAAGAATCATAAAAATACATTAAAAAGTTAGTATTCTGACCCGGCCGGGCGTGGCTCAGTGGTTGAGCATCGACCCCGGAACCAGGTGGTCACGGTTTGATTCCCAGTCAGGGCACAA